GATGTAATATGTAAGCCAGTCTTCGGACGGCCCACCCGTTTGAACTAATAAAGTGCCAGGGGCCTAAGTGGTCACTTTAATATTAAAAATATATATATATATATATGATAATATGCAAAGTTTAATATATATATATTGTAATAGTTTTTTTATATTATATATGTAGCAAGTTGTAGAATTATGACTAAATTTAGTACAGTAGTAAATTTCAATTATATATGCTAATGAAATTATTTTGGGTTCTAAAACCTGAAATTAAAATTTGAAGACGAAATTGTTTTAGACTTATTTTACTTAAAAGACAAAATTTTTTGGCACTTTTTTTAAATAGACAAAAATATAAGCATAAATGTATAAATTTTATTTGCTTTTTTTTATAAAAAATTTTAATTTGCTCTAATAGAGATGAAATAGGTTTTTTTTGAAAATTAATTTCAGTAGCATCTATAATTTCAATACATATTTGGAATAAAAACTAATGCATAATTACTTTTACCAAAAATGAACTAAGCAGTTATAAGAAATTGACTACAACAATTCTATATTACTCATCTATTTAATAATCTTCAGAATTATTATAACTATTATCATTATAATTGTAATACATAGAAAAAGTGCCAGAATGTGAAATATCAAAATGGCAGTCAAAATGATTTTTGTATTCTTCTAAGTATTGCTTGTTATTATTCTATATTATCAAAGAATAAAAAATTAATAAATAGAAAAAAAAAGGCTAAAAACTTAATAAAATATTTTAACTACTTATATCTTCAGCATTATTATCTGACTCTTGTATATTATTGACTTTTTTAGAAAATGCTTCTATTTGGGAATAGATTTCTCCACCCATAAGAGAAGTAGTCATGATTGTAGAGTCAAACATTATATCAATTACCACAATAGCAAATTCTTAATTGAGCTTTGAATGACGACTTCTAAATACTTCAGTTATAATATGATATATATATATATATTATAAGGATTAGCACCTTCTGATAGATCGACAGGCTTTTATAGTTTAGACTTTGCTTTTAACATTGCCATGCTAGTTTTCCATATTAAGACTTCTTGCTTAGAAGCCTTCTGCCCAGGAATATCTCCTATAGCCACTTTGCCAAGAATATTAACTATCGTTGTCTTTATTTTTCATATATTATTAGCTTGTCTGACATGATATTCTTGGCAGGCTTATAGAATAACTATAAATTAAAATATTTGTAACAGATTTCACAATAAGAAAGATATCTTACATCAAATTGAACAACTTCTTTTCAATATTTATTCCATTCTCCTTGGAATTTTCAACTTAACTTATTTTCTCATAATAATTGTTTTTGAGCTTATTATAGCATATATTTTTCATTACTAGATTAGGCCATACAAACTTAATAATTCGGTTTTCATAACATAAAATTTTAAAAGTGACCCAGCAACCGGCTTTTAATTTTATTTTCAAAAAATTTTATATATAAAAAACATATAAAATTTTTTATATAATTTTTTAAAAAACTCGCCTGGATAGTAAATATACTAAAAAATTTTTTCTAAGATTTTGTAAATTTTGACCCAGCCGAGTTATGAAAACCGATTTATTAAATTTATATAGCCTTACTTGTATTCTTATCAATTTCAAGCAGCTTAAACATCATATTGGCCACATCCTTCTATATTAAAAAAAAATTATCTTTAGATTAAACAAGTTAACAATTATATGCAAGACAAACTACATATTTACTAAAAACTATTTTTTAGTTCTCTTTGTTGTCATATTGTCACTATTGTCATTAGTACCAGTTATAATTTGAACAAGGTTTTGTATTGATTCTTCAGCACAAGACATTGCATTTTTAGTTTCATGAGCAGGCTTGAGGCTATTTATTGCATATTGCATTGCCTTTTGGAGCATGAGACAATCTTCGTTGGCCAAACTTATAACTATATCAAGAACTAATTAGATGTTGTACAGATCTATATTTGCATAAAGTTAGATACTAATTACTGTTATCTATATTTTTATACTAGGAACTGGAAACCAGTGTAAGTCCGGAGCACAAAATATTAAATTATATAAAAATTAAAAACTAATTTAAACCTAAAATAATACTAATAACTAGAAACCAGTAT